TACTCACTGTAGGTATTAACTTTTTTATCTCTTCTGTACGTATTTTAAGTTTTTGTTGTACAATAAAATGTTATAATTAAACAAATAATGAATTACTCTGTGACAGATTTGATCAATTAAGGCAATTTCATGGAAATTGTCGAATTTTTACTTTCGCAAGTATTGCTTTTATACGCGATATATCCTTGCTATATTGAATGTGATGATGTAATTTATAAGGACATGAAACTAAACATCAAAATGATAAAACTTACTGTAAGAACTCTACATTCGCTCTTGCCGTTCCAATATAATGTTTGCCAATCTAAACTTTTTAAACAATTTTAACTTTATGTAAACACATTCCCAATGATATTTCTCATCCTCGTTTTCCATTTATTCTTTATTTATATTATTATTCCACTAGTTCCACTAGTGGGAAATAGATAATTTACATTAAAAACTATACTGCTCGTGTACGAGTGGAGGAATTACTCGCGGAGTGGCATCCTCATTTATATTATTATATCTAATAAAATATTACAAAATATTCTATGATTATACTTATCTGATACTATCTTTTGTTTATTTATACTTTTTACATACATTAAAATACGTCTACAGGACGGACTTAATGCCTAATGGCATTCTCTACCAGGCAACCGTATTAGTTATTAATCATAAAACAAGTAACAATATTTTTTTAAATTATCTAAATATAAATCTTGAAAATTCTTTTGGCTTTTAATTTGTGGTTTCGTTTGGGTTCCCCAATCGCATTCAAGAGTCATCTAATTGCGCTGTCGTAATCCAAAAACTCTACTAGATCTCATGGGATAATAAAAAAAGTCGAATCCTTATGATTCTATTCCTATATAAGTAGATCCCGTAAAAAGTGAATTTGATAATCGTTTTCTATATAAAAGGATATTGTAATCATCTGGCTTATATTTTGTCACACACATAATTACAAATACAAGTTATAGTATGTTCCTCAATAACATAATAATCTTATCCTCCTTATTGTAATATTAATATAGTAAAAGAATACCTTTAATTATTATAATTATTATACCCATATTATTTGTAGGTTTTATAGTTCCATCTCTTTTTTAAGTACATACATTTTTTGTTTCTACTTTTTTAATTTTAAATTGTACCAACAATAAACTTCTCTGCTTGCTCCACTGTTAGTAGAGAAAGCTTTTACTCGTAGATATGTCAATCAAGTATACCTTATTTAAATACAGAAAAGTTAAATAAGTAAATATTAAAAGAGATTAAAGCTCAAGTTTCCAGTCATAAATTAAACTGTTCCTTTATTATCATGGATCTAAATGATCTAATTAATATAGGTAAGTAATTGAGAAGCTAGCTATCTTGGGATATAGCGTGGCGCATCGCATCCTTGCCAACTTCCGCCCTCGTTATCGGGAAATCGCTAATCAGATCTGGAACGCGGAACCACTTTCAATACTTATACTGCAATAAATCTCTGCAAATACAAAATATAAGCTGAAAGGTTTAATATTTACATTTTATATAACTTTGCATTTTATGTTACATGTACATTGATTTATTATTATTATTTAAGCCATTAACTGTCCACTGCTGGACATAAGCTTTCCTCATAAGAGGAGTTTTGTTAGTAGTTGCCACGCTTGGCAGGCAGGTTGGCTTTTAGAGATATTTTAAGAGAGACGCTGCTGCCCATCCCTGACCCTCCCTTAGTCGCCTCTTAAAATACCCATGGGAAAGGAAAGGGTGGTCCATTCTATGCCGGGACACACAGGGCTAAAACATTGATTATACAATAAATAAACAGTGGGTAAAAATATAAATGCTTAATTTATATGTAGTGACTCTTATAGATTATATAAAATATAACTTTCACGATCAAATCAATATTTTATTACTTTTAATTTCTAGTGTTAATGACGGTACGGCCTCGGGTACGTTATAACATTATTTTTTTCCAGAAAAACAACGAAACAGATTTTAGAGTTTTAAATAAAATATTCATGACATTATTTTTATAAAATAGTGACAAATATAATACAATATGTGTTGATATGTTACAAATTTCTTTAAATGAGTGTTTCTGTGACAATATCAACAAAACTTGGTCAACCTTTTATTAAGATCTATTGAAAAAGAATATACAAGTTGTAGATATGCACAATTATTTCAATGCGAAGAGGAAGCATTATAAAAGTTGCGGCGGACGTCATTATCGCTACAAACAATCGCAACTGTGCGTCTGGCGCTCCCACACAACGTAATGCAAGTTTTTTACCGTTGCGTCGTCAGGGGGAACATTGTTGAGTGTTTCCGACACTGTCAGAGGAAATTTTCAAACAGCAATAATGAACTTTTTTTAATTGCATATTTCAGTTATTCGAATTTTCGACCATAATAGTGAGGTAGGAATGCCTATTGTCTCATTAAATTTGAATTCACCGAATGAAATCCTACTCAATTTGAGCTACGTTACATTTAACCTCAACAGCAACAATTAACAACATATAAAATTTTCGATTAACTTCGAATGAGTTTTAATTTCTGACTAATGTGAAGTCGGTTAAATTCTGACTAGATAAATTAAGCTAAAAGTTTTATTTTATTATGCATAAACTTCATCAAATAAAACTTCTGATTTAATTTTGTCTTTTATTAGTAGATCGAATGAAGTTCATTTTATGATATAATAGAATTAATTAAATTACATTTACTGCAAATATTATTATTATAATACAACAAAATCTTTAAAACATGTATTTAAACTATTTAAATTACCTCCGTTTCTGTACATTTAATTTTATAAACAAAATATTGACTTTTGAGCTTTATTTTATATTTATAGATTAAAATTTATAAAAAAAATGCTTGGTAATACTTACTTCGTACTTAAAAACTGAAATAATTTTAAAAACAAGAAATTACAGTTGTACATGTAATATATCTATACATAGTTAAAACCTTTTAACCACAAACCAGTTGTTAAACATATAAAGTCCACTAAAGATGTACTTTATGTTTAATAAATTATAATGCGCGATTTTTTTTTGTCTATTGATATAAATATATAGTTATAAACTATATATTTATATCAATATTATATTATTTTATCGATAAAAATAATAACCTCTATAATAAGATCTTTCATATACCTTTAATCCAAATACATTCATCCGTTCAAGTGCAAGTACTCGTAAGTTCAAGCATTTTTATATTTTCACATTTTATATGATTAGAAACTTATACGTACATATATATAAAAATATATGAAGTCATATTATATAATTTGTTTTATTAAAAATAGGGTAGTATTTGATATTTTATATACATTGAATGGGGAACTATCTACATATCGTCAATTTTGTTTTAAGGAAAGGATTGTCGCCGACGACAACATGTTTCTTCGGGTGGGAATCAATTATTAAAAGTTCCCCCTTCCCCCGTCCAATGTAACGGCTTGCTCACGAGGTGCACAGCCTGAATTTCAAAATGAGGTAACATTGGCATTCCAATACTCCTTATAGCCGTAAAATTTACATTATAAGACTCCACACGTCAAGTAAATAAATGTTATGTCTATATACTATAAATAATATAATTATAACATTTGTAATAACAATAAGTTCCCACAATTGCACTAATTGCCTGGTACTCAAGTCATGATAAGCTCATAACATAAGATACCCGAAGGGAAAAGGATAGTTAGTAATGAGGATCTAACAGCTCCATTGCTAGCAATATACCGACCAATATCAAGTCGATCTCTACGTGGTTGCCTTTAGAAACCATCTTAATTAATTCTTTTTGAACTCGTCACTATGGGCCAACTGACCTGTTTCGTTCTCATCTATCATTTCTCGATAGCGCAGGCGGGTTCATAATTCTATTATCACCCATTAAAAAAATCATAGATAACCTTATATTATGAGGTTACAATATTGATTCGTCAACTAAAACAGAACTAGAATAAAATAGTGCTGAATAACACCTTACAAACTAAAATGTGGCACCGCTAAATAACACCTCACGTAGTAAAACAGAACTCAAATGTGGCACCGCTAAATAACGACAGAACTCAAATATTGCGTTGTCTAACTAAATGTTAAATACAAAAGATCTAATAGTTTAATGGCCGCGGTATATAAGTTAAATAATATAATAATACTACCAATAAGAACAATAAGTTACTGCCTCTTATCCTTTATATCTATTCAACATCATAAATAATTCCTGTAATATTGTTGCAATAAATAACAAAAAATATATTTTAAACTAAAAATCAGTCATTTTTTCTGCTTTGATCGAACTCCTAGTTGGTACTGTTGATCAAATATCAATTATATTTGTGGTTAAATTAATAATGTCATATTTTATAAATTTAAAACTAGCCACGTAATTTCTTTTTATTGCTGACACGATTACAAAACGCAGTCTTTTTTCCCTATGATTTGTAATTTGAAGGCATTACATATGAAAACATGTCGGAAAAAATTTTGTAAATAATAGAGAAAACCGCATTAAAATCTATTGCCTAGTTCAGATGGACTAAGCAAATAGATACGTTCTTATAAATATAAAAATAAATATCTCCACGACTGTTCTCTAATGGAGTAGTTAGATGTACTCGTATTTGTAGACTGTTGCTGTGAACCTAACATTTAATATTTCTCTGAGTAAAAGAAAAATCCAACTCCTGTAGTATAACGATTAATTTAGTTTTTTTTTTTTGTCATCATCTCTAATAATATTAAAAAATTTTTGCTCATTACATCTGAACACCTTAATGGCTCAACCAACCATCGTGAAAATAAAATTTGATATACACGTACTAAATTGAGACAAAGAAAGATATAGGCTTCTATTTATATTAAAATTAAAATATGATATTTAGTAAACTCATAATTTCCCATATTTGACAACCATTTCGCCGTTCTTCCTGTTATAAGCGGCACTAATGAGTGTTCATTGAACCGTGCGGCTCCAATGTCGAGATGCCGACTTACCGACCGAGCTTCCTACACATTCTCAGTAGCCACAGCGAGATTCAGCCATCAAATATTCACGTGTGGAGCTATGGTTGCCGTTTTACTGCCACCTCCTCCCTCTGGTACCCCGCAACCCTCCAGTTCACCCCCTCGTCCGCCCGCGCCCTCAACGACCCAGTCTGAAACAACTGAATGTGCTAAAATCAATAACTGACTGTTGTTTGACAAAAGTTTCGCTAGACGTTCAACTGTTCAGACATAGAATCAAGCTATTTACGGATAAAAATAAAATCAAAATAATTGACACTGCAAATTGCGAATGAATTAATTGCCAATAAAACATGTAGTTGATATTTTAAATTTATTTATTTATAATAATGCACATAATGATAATAATATACAGTTCGATATTTTGTTTTTGGTTGTATTCTAACGAAACCGATTTTTGACCTTGACAAAATTTATAAATATGGGACCAATGCGTGACTAAACCATTAAAAAATTCAAATGACTTCGGCATTACCGAAAATATCGCGTAATATCCATAAATACAGTCGAATTTAAAACCTCTTATTTGGAAGTTGTTTAAGAATAATAGAAAAAAATTATCCGCATTTAAAGAAGAAAAACGTGTTCTCCTTTTTAGATTGAATAAGGTCATTAGAAAAACATAACAAAATAGAAATATTTTATTGGTATGAAACAATAATAGATAAATAAGTACTCATATATTAAGTATTTTTGAAACGTGAAAGTAAAAGTCAGAGTATTAAAGACAGAATTTTACTATTATTATGGTAAATTATTAGACAAAACTATAACATTTTACAAATGTTGCCTTTAATATTCTCGCGTCGCTATTACTGCAAGACGATTTAAACTAAATTTGAAATATAACAATTACCCTATGTAACCCCGAGGGGAAGGGATTGTTAGTAATGGTGAGGTTAGTCCCCATTGCTATCAATATACGCTATCAGGTCAACCTTCACGTGGTTCCCCCTGGAAACTATCGTGACTAATTTATCGTTGAATTCTTCAAGATGGGCTAACTGATGTGCCTTTTCATCCTCATCGGTCACACCTCACTGGTACCCCGCCAGTGTATACCGATAGCGCAAGCTGGGTTATCATGCCATTTTCACCCATTAAAAAAACACCTTAGTAATCCGTATACAAAATATTTTTTTTTACAACACAGGGGGCAAACGGGCATACGGCTCACCTGATGGTAAGTGACTACCGCCGCCCACGATCACCCACTACACCAAAGGTATTGCAGATATGCTGCAGGCCTTTTAAAAGGGAATATGTTATATATTACTTTAATTTTGTCTACAAATATTTACAATTAATCTTCTATTTGTATATAAAAGAGGAGGCTAAGTAACTTATTGACTGACTGACTTATATGTCAACGCACAGCCGAAACTGCTAAATCGAAAATCTTGAAGTTTTAAAAATAGGTTCTTTAATATTTAGGTATTACTTATGCTGGTGAGCAATAAGAAAGAAATTTTAAAAAATTCTATCTCTGGAGGGGTAAAAACGAGGATTGAAAGTTTGTATGGAATTTCGTCAGTTTTGAAATTAGACAGGTGTTTTAGATTTAAGCTCTTGGTTGAAAACAAAAATTAATGTTTATTGTTGTTTGAAGAATTCATTCCTAAAAGGGAGAAATAGAGAATGAAACTTTGTATTAAAGTTCTGTTATAATTGAAGTTAGAAGTACAAAAATGTAGTTTTATACTTCTGATTAGAAAACAAATTATATAAAACACTTTTCAAAATTTCCTAGCCTTAGATGGATAAGCGATACCCACAAGTAATCGAATTCCACACGCAAGCGAAGTTGCAAGCATAAACGAGTGAATGTAAACTTTATTTGCAAAAGCTAGCATTTCCATATTAATCTTACCTAGTCCGACAAAACTCCATTTATTGTATGGTTCTAGTTCCCCTCCATACATAACCGTCATGGAATGGATTTTGTGCGAAGTTTCAATTTTTCCTGACTCGAAAGCCGACCCGAAACTTGCAAAAGAGGCCCAAGAAAATGGTTAGGTTAGGTAACCTCGGCCTACCGGGTCCGTAGACCACGGCGAACCGAGCCGGCCGAAACAAAAAGGTCTTTGTCCATAGTCTATATATATTGATGGTCACAATAATTTTGTTAGTGCGATTTAGAAAACAATGCCATCTAGTGGTAGTACGGAAGAAGAAAGCAGAATAAATGTAATTTCAAAGTACAAACCTCTTCGGAAGGTGAAGAAGATTCAAAACTACTATGTTCCACAATTCCAATTAGAGAGAAAGCTTTCAGCTTACGTTGTACTTAGGAAAATTCTGATGAAATAGCCAGCAAATAAAAAACAAACATATTACAATTCACTACGTTAATTGAGCGCTAACGACTAACCGGAATCATTGCATATGAACCACTGATGATATCACAAACAATAATAATGCATGAGCTACACACTTGAACATAATACACTAAAAAATAGCCTTTTCGCCTTTTTTTATATTTTAGTGCTTACTAAAAGTCGTTATCTTGTCATAGTTTAATTCAGATTATCAAATATTCAGAACATTAGTGAGGTTACTCGTGAAATAAATTTCAAAAATCTATAATGGAATTGTAATATATTACATTCTCGAACTGCAATGATGATTCCATACTGTTCTAATAGATGTTTATTAGTATACTGCAACTTGCCAATGCAAACTATTGTAAACCGATCCCAATTTTAAATTCATACTTAATTGTTGTTTTATGAGTGCATTGATATTGATTGAATTGATTAAACTGATATCAATATTAGATTTAAGATTTACCAGAAGGAGACTTTGTACAAAAGTCGTTTGCTTGGGCATCTCTGTCCCATTCGTGGTTCTACCGTGAAGCAGTTGTCTTTGCATGACTGTGTTACGGTTTGAAGGGTAAGATATGGCAGTGAATTTATAGGGTACAGAGGAAGTCTAAGTTGCTAATATATATATATATATATATATATATATTCCCCCAAAAATTTTAAATATATTAAACCTCGGTTTGTTTACATCAATAACAGATATTATTTTTAAGCAAAGATCTTAAAATGGCTACGGAACCCTAGTAGTGCGTACTTGGCATACTCCTTGCCAGTTTTTTACGTTATAAAATAGCGGATGTTACATACTCATACCATTAGTACAACAAGCCAACTATGGACAGGATGAGGCTTGTGGTTTCTGTGAGACGATACTTTAATAGGATGTCGTTGAACTGCTTCGGCATCTATATCCTTCGCAAATTGTAAAGCTTCTTTAGAAACCATATATATATATATATATATATATATATATATATATATATATATATATATATATATATATATATATATATATATATATATATATATAATTTAAGGTTTTTTTATAAATTACTTTATAAATTACTAGTTTACAAGTTAGTTAGCAGCAACTAGTGAAACATATGAGCTAGTTTTTATCCTTAGATTATATAGATAGAGCATCGAGCCTTAAAAACGGGTCAACTTTTTGTTTTTTTTTTTATTAGCGTTCTATATACTTACGCATAAAATGTATCTTGACGTATTATTTTAATAAATAAAATGAGTGGTTAAGCATTAAAAAGATGCACTACTTACTACGACTACACTTTAAAACGGCTGCATCTATTTGACTATTTTTTTTTATTGTCTTTGTAATTGTCTGGACAAGGTTTGTATAAAAAAATGTTTGAGTAATCGTATGGAGAAGTGAAAATTTTAGTAGAGCCGAGCGAAGCTAAGGGCGGAATGCTAGTTTATTATAAAAGGCTATACCTTAGCTGTTATTAAGGATAGTTGTATTATAATTTTATGACACTTCTATAAAGTGGAAGTAAAAATAGACACATATGACATATACATGGCGTCGTATATCGACATCTTCTTTTGTAAAATAGGAAATACAATATGTATGACAAGTTTCAATTATAATTTAAATATAATATAAAGTTCCATTTTGATCTAATATAATTTCTTGTGGTCTGTTGAAGTTATCTATTATAGTGTATTACATCATCTCTGGTTAGGGCACAATATAATATTTATCATTAAATATATTTTTATATATCCTCTTTCGGCGGAAATTTGTTCCGTTATCGAGTTCTTATCACATTTTGCATTAGGCACCCGGCATTGAGTTATTTCGTGGATTAAAAAGTTTTTTACGAAAATTATAACCGTGACTGGCTTGGAATAATACTATAAAATACTAGAGCAAAAAATATTGAAGATATATACCTATATATAACTCTTTCTCTACAATTGGGAGTTATCTAGCCAGCGCAGTGCGGTCCGGATCCGAGGAAAGCACGGTTCATATCGGGCACTAAACAAACATTTCGGCAGCATGCCGATTTCCTTCTTCTTTAGAACTATTCGCATCGATGAATCTGGAATTTGGCACATATTTGATGATAGACCCATATTATCATTAATTAACGCATTATGCGTTGTAAATACACTAAAGTAATCGAAACATTGCCTATACTGTTTAATTTTTGCTATTCAGAGTATTTTAGAAGTCAAAGTGCTTACACAGAGAACTAACAAGATTGATAATTATTTCCAAAAGACTTACCTCTTTATTCGTGAAAACGTGAAACCTCCTTTAGCTATTGAAGATATAGATTTTATCTTTCTCTTTTACGCTAATATCTGAATTTGAAAGACAGTGACAAAATACTGTAATAGTAAAAATAGGTTTGCAAAACGATTTAGTTTTTATGAATAAGGGGGTTAGAATAATCACTCAATATAGAATATAGCCTCAAAAAGCAATAGACAAAGGGTAATTAAATCAAAAACGTGATAGATTTCTTGCCAAGTTATTGATAATAAATTAAAAAAATATATTTCTCTTATATTTTCTAGATAGTTTGCTTTCACGAAATAAACTATTAATGAGACGACAATGGGATGTGTTATAATATTCTAATCATGAAGTATACTTTTTTCTAAAAAAAACTGTTTACTTGAAAATGACCTTAACATTTTATTTTTGGGATGCGAAAACGTAACCGTAAATTATGTTTATTTATACCAAGCAGTATCTGACTTGATTTATTCCCTTTTTGTGGTACTTAACACATTTACGCCAGAGGAAAATATATACTTCCTGAAACTGAACGAATGAAGATATCTGAAATGTATTTTCCATTGTGATTTTTTTTTCTACTTACCTATTTCTTTGAAATGTTTCCAACAGACTAATAATGGGAATAATTGTATCAATTAACCTTGTTTTTGTAATTATTAGATACATGTGTAAAAGTACTTCGAATACTTAGGTATGAAAACTAAAATATCTGTTTTACTATATATATATATATATATAACGTAAGTCTTTTTTTCTTTTTTTTAATAAAAAAATTACTTAAAAAAGTTGAATCGTAATATCCCGAAAATATTTAGATATATATAACTAGTCTGGTCATAAATACTACTAAATAAAAACTTTTCTTTTTTTCAACTTTTTAATTATATTGAATTTAGAACACATTTATTATTTTAAAAACTGCTTTCGATATGGCGCCATTTCACATATTTTTCGTGTTCATTATTAAATTACAATATGGAATGGGGTGTTAAAGAAATTAGAATTGCAGTGATCGCCTTGCACAAAGTGGGTATGGAGCCATCGGTCATGTTCCAGACACTTCAAAAGCTTGGTATCAGCCGTAGGTATATTCGTATATCGTACTATTAACAGATACTTTCTCTGTCGAAGGTTGGTACTTGCCTATAGGTAACAAACAATTCGCAAGTTCGATTTTTCTACTACTAGGCACTTACTCAAGTTATAACTAAAATAGCGAGTATCAGAAATACCTCTTTTTTATATTGCTGGTGATATTTAGCGTTCGCTGAAATATGTAGTTCGTCTTTATAAGTAAGAGCCATCGTACGTTCTCTCGCACAGTTTTATCTTCCGCTTTCACAAAACCGAAGTATAAAAATTTAACAAAAAGTAATGCTGTTCAATGTTTATGGAGCTGTTCATATCTATAGGTAATGATTACTTACCAGTTTCTATCAGGTGGGCCATCAACTTACATATTTAGGATTACATAAAAAAATCTTCATGCCATACCATATTAACCGTTAATTGTCCACTGCTGGACATGGCCTCTCTCTATTGAGGGGGTTTTGCCAGAACTTACCACGGAAAATGAAGAGACCGACTATTCTATGCCGGAACAAAAAGTATCGCAAAATCTCGCTTTTATAAAATCATTATGAATTATATTTAATAGGTTGATTCGTTTAATTCATAAAGTATAAATTTGAAACTATCACAATAATAATACACGAAGAAGATAATAATAAGAAATACTATGGTAAATAGAGCAGCTCTGGTGCGGTGCCGCGATGCGCCTCTACAGGGAGTCATTGTCTCTGAAAAGCTTTTAATAACATATCCTAACACACTTTCACGAGTTTGAACAACAACACATAATCATAATTAATGTAACGTATACTTTTAGTCACTTCATATCATACTAATATATGAAGTGACAGTTCATATTAATATTAGAAATAATGAAATTAAAAAATTTGCTCCTAAAACAGCTTTTAAAACAACCACTTCAAACGTAGCAAAGTGAATATGGTATCAACGTATGAGTAAGCCATATCGATTACAAAAATAGCTATTTACTTATTTATTTTCTACAATTTAAAATGGCAAACAACTCATTTACTTATTTATATTATATTTTTAGGCTGACGGCCCACCTGATGGAAAGTGGTAACTGTCACATATACACATGAATAATAATACTAATAATATACTTTGACACCCATGACACCCTGCGTTGCCATTACTGAATACTAAGATGTTATTCCTCTATACCCTGTAATTCACTGCCATATCTCACTCTTAAAACCGAAAAATAGCCATGCAAACACAACTGCTTCACAGCAAAAATACGAATGGCGCAAAGAGACAACTTTGTTATAGTCTCCCTCTGTTAGAACTATCAATAGCACTTCAGTATTATTAGCAGCAAAAGGTTGTGTGATGTATGTACTCAAGAATACATTTGAATTGAGAAACTTCTCCTTGTTTTTTTTTATTAATGGGGTGAGAATGGAATAGTGACCCCGTTTGCGTTATAGGTAAGGGATGATAAATGATAATGAAGTCGAATTTGTCAGTTCTTACTGATTAATTCAGAAATTAACCATGATTATATGTCGATCTGATAGAGTATTTTGCTAGGAGTGGGATCATTAATACCCATTACTATTAATTTCTTCCCCTCCCCGCTGTTTCTCTTTCTCCATATTGTTGACTGCATTATGGCATCCTTTGTTTAATAATAATCCTCCCGCAGGATATTTAGATACGTGTGTACATACATATATTTGCACGTCGCAAGCGAATTAATCTGATAAAAGGCAAAATTAAAATGTTCACGTTTGCAATGTATTACTTAAAATGTACTGTACAACCCTCGATGATTAAAACCAGTCAAGTTGATTGCGTTACATGTTTGTACCCTCTCGTCCTATGAATGGCCGATACATTTATTAAGAACAATAATTTCCAAAGTGGTTGTGGATATGAACTCCCAATATTCAGTAAGGATGAACGAAATATATCCCCATGTTGAGTGGAACAGCAAATTTAAAAACATTATGTTAAAGTAACATTAATAATATTTAGTAATCAGCGTTTTGTAATTAATTAATACATAGATAGATAGATACTTTTTATTGTTTCCTCCAAAAGATTACAATAGTTAACTCATCATAATAATCAATATAACGGTAATTAGGTTTAATAAACATAGAATTTTTGCAAATAGCTTAGGATGTACGGAACAGTATAAATCCTGAACCTTGTTAAATGACATTTATGACAAAAAAAATTTGAGCATGTCTGTCGTAACATTTGAATGCAATGTAAATGTGTGTAATAAAATTTTACTATTACTGGATTCTCTGTGTGATAACTTTGCTAGAATCATAGTACGTACGTAGGGCACACTGAAAGTTATGCATAACTTATGAATAAAAGAAGTTAAAATTAGAATATTACATTTATTGTTTTTCGAAGTTCCCTACTTCATATTTTAAACATTTTTTATTCGATCAAACCTTTTTTCAAAACACGAAGACCATTTACCTGAAGGTATGTCTTCCACGTGCTAATAAAAAGCCATCATCGCCTCTTCTTAGTTAGTAAAAGTGAAACCTCGCATCAAATCTTTAATTTAAAAAAAAATATTGCAGGGTGCAGGGTTTGGTCTATATGAAAGATAAGTCACAATAGTCCACTGTAGATTTTTCCGAGGGTAAAAATATCTTTGTTTTATTGGCTCTGTATGAAGAACGTATGGTATCTCGGTGGTCTCTCTCTGATTTTTTCTAGGACAGTAGGTAAACAAATATCAATCAGCATTAACACTTTTTAATCCTCATGCGGAATCGTACAAATAACTTAGCCCACGTTCCTCGACTGCCTCAATTGTGTAGGCATGTTCTCAGTTTCGAACACCCTGTTGCTATTGTCAGGTTTTATTTTTAGGTTCAAGACAACAAATCCACGTTTCGTTTTCTGTGTCATAAACTGGAATTGAATGTCTGTGGTCGTATTTAAGCAATGTCAACTATCACTAAAACTTGTACGTTTCTAGCTTAATCTCTGATAAGGTAGAAGTATTAACTTTTTGTATGTCCCATGTAAAAGGGATAGAATATACGGAATTCAGCGAAGTAAGTTGTAAGGTTAAAGATAAAAAAATAATATGGTACCGTACACACGGTTTTTATATATATGGAGGGGAAGAGATTGTTAGTAATGGTCGACCTCGACGTGATACCCCTTGGAAAACTATTGTGCTGAATTCCAGGCGTAATCATCACAGTGGGCTAACTAGCCTGCTTTTTCATTCTCACCTATCATTCCTCACTAGTGCCCTGCTAGCGTACGAGTATACCATTAGCGCAGGCGGGGTTACCATTCCATTACCTATTAAAAAACACGGCTTTTATACAAATTTCATTGTTATTAGGTAATTGATAAGAAAATAAATAATAATATTTTTTTTATATAAATAAACAAATAATTATAACTATGCAACGCCAGGGCGGGTAGGCAATTACAATGCAATACTCTTAAAGTTAAACAAATAACATTTGCAATTTTATTTCGACTAGACAGGAAGCGAATAGATCAATACACCAATTAAACGTAGGTACTGTTGCAAATGCAAAACAGAATATGTAATTAATATTTGGTTTCCACAGACGGATACTAATGTTACATTAATTTACATAGTTCCCACGTATAAGATAATATTTGGAGAACATATGTGCATGTTTTTGGATAGCCTAAAGCATATTATGTTTATAGTTAAATGTTTGAAAATTAAATTGCTATTCAAGCAGTTGACTACTTATGTATACTGATACTATGTTTTAATGTTATGTTATAAGTTCTAATGATATGTAGGTATATCAAACCTGCGGTTGCCAGCCTGTTTGCCAACCGTGGCAACTGCTGGCGAAATCTCCCAAGAGGGAGGCTTATATTCAGCATTGGACAGTTAACGGCTGATATATTGATGGTTAATTACATTAAATTACTTAATACACTTTGCTCATAGTAATGTTGCCAAAATATAAACTGTCACGTCACATTCGTCATGCTATAATGCACAGAATATATTTCAGTCAACTGTTTTAAGTAACAAGTGTATGTTTTAGATTTCATGATCAATTTTGTACATTGTACTTGTGTTGTTCATTTTACTTTATATCTACTGTTATTTATATTCTATGCGTGTTATTTTTTAGTCTAAAACACATAAGTTTAAATCTAAGTTAATATTAGTGTGAAACGCTGCGCATACCAGACAAATCACCGTGACAGAATATGTGACTCGGCCGGTGACAATCTTCGCAGCCATTATACAGTTTTTGTATCGCATTCCAGTGATGCCTGACTAACATTTTTATTATTCTATAGCCGCAGGTACTGTCCTTAATCTGTGTTTTATAGATCACAAGATTTCGGTGCTAAAATATGTGTCAAGATCGTTTTGTCTAATAAGACGAAAAACTATAATTTATTGTAGGTATTCTTTATTCCATATTGTATCAGAAAAACAATTATACATAATAGTGCACAAAGGCGACCTTATCACACAGGCATACATGTGTACTAATCGACTTAAATGTTATAGTTAAAAATAAATAAATAAATTATAGATATATTTATTTTCTGTTCAGGCTACATCGAGTCAGGTATCAAAAAAGTGAAGGTTAGTATAATAAACGTTACTAATACAATATTTATTTTCCGAAAATGCATAAATATAAAAATGTTAATTTTAATAGAGAGCCACTGTATTCACCAAATATGTAGTATCTAGATAAAATTGATCTAAGTAGAAATTAAATATTGTGTTGGAGCTCTCAACTGCTCGTAGTGAGATGCTGCAAGCGACGTGCGGCCGCGTGATCGGGACAGCCGGCGGTGACGCGCGCCGGCGGCGACGGCGTGGCACCCACCAATCAATCATCACCGACACAAACGACACTCGCAACTGTCGCGCGTGTCGTCCGAACCGGCTCTACTGAGTTACGTTCACTCATATATAAAATAACATAATCTAATAGTGACAATAATTATATAAAAATCGACGATGTAATCGGCTTTTGTTGCTTAATAACTAGTTAACTTTATCTTTTACATTTTACCACCCACCTAATGATAAGCCTGCAATACCAGGAACATTAAGCGTGCGTTGCTGATCCTGACGAAATCTTTCTACCACTTTTTGAAAAACCCTGTGCTGTAGTCTCTTAAAAAAGGCTCGATAGGGAGCATATTCTATAACCTGAACGTTCGTGAGAGGAAATATCTGAAGCCTCACTGTACGCGAATAACTAGGCTCTAAAGTATGGGGATGAGTTTTCTGTCGATGGCGAGCAGTTTGATGGTATTATAACTCTTGTACTAGAAAAGTACATAGATCCTAAATATCCTTAGTTACTCCTGAGATCCTTACTACTATTATAAATGTAAAAATAAGTTTGTTTGTTACCTCTTTCGGAGGAAAGATTGTTAGTAATGGGAACTAATGCCCCATTGCTAGCAATTTGCCCTTACTAGTTTGATCTAAACGCGGTCACCTCTGGAAACTAACGCCGTTAATTCCTGAAGAATTCATCAATATTGTCAAACCGACTTGATTTCATCCTCACCTATCATCATTCCTCACTGGTGTCCCGCCAATGTACATCGAAAGCGCAGGCAGATAACCATTCCATTTTCATCGCATAAAATAACTGTCACGAGTTCATGATATTTGGCTTAAACACAGTATTTAGTTCTCCTCATATTTATCGTTTAAGGCCAATGACTATAGGCACCTACATATTATAATAATCTACATCATTTTAAAAAATAGACTAAATCATGCTCTTTAGAAAGTTACAAAATCTTTTATATTTAAACTAATAGGAATGAGAAGTGAAAATTTAAATCAATTGATATCACAGTACATATCGCTCATACAATATAAATACTCGGTATATAATAATATAGTGTTGGTTTCAAAAAGTAGAGAACTGGTAAAAATATCCTTTTTTTAAATTTATATAGTACATATCTCTACTACCTAGTATTCATCTAGGTAAGCGCATTACACTCTGGTGTCAAGAATTTCTAGCCATAACGTATATATCTGTAATTTCGTTGTTCAGATAAGAAAAAATAAAGTAATATTTTATCTTAATTTTAACTTGTATACTTAACATCAATTAAAGTTATTGTACCTAATTAGTTACTAAATTAAAAATTCAGATAAAAATTGAAAATAATAGTAGATAAGAAGAAAATTTCCCCAACAGTATTCCTATAACAACAACTAAAAACTTCCTTTTTAACATAATTTATAATTATCTTTTGTTTTTGTTGCAGTAACGAACTGTGATCGGATGCACCGAATATTGGTAAGATTTATTATTGTATAATAAGTAAGATAAGTTAATCCTATTATCCCATTAATATAATAAATGCGAAAGTTTGTAACATTGGATGGATAGATAGATGTTTATTACTTTTTTACATGGGTAGATTATATCCTAACTTAGCACATATGTAGGATATTTTATATACTTACTCACGCAGACGAAGCCGCGAGATACAGCTAATAAATAGACACATTCAAGTTCAAAATATTCTTTAATACGACAATAGTCGTATAACCACTTACAATTTATTCAATGTCTAATGTTTTTGTTATAAACAACTTTCTTCGAATTCTTTGAATAAGACATAGATTTATAAACCAGTAGCTTATCTTTTGTAAAGCTTCTGTGTCGACATTTCTATATGGGAAAACATAAATGTGTCAAATTGAGCGAAAATATTCACAAGACCCTTATCTGTGTGTAATGAAATGAGTGGCGTGTACAAATTGCCTCGTGCTCAAGTGTGCACTACCACTAACAATAGGTAATTGGTGAGGTCAGACATATCTTGTGTGTACCTTCATACTGCTATATTCATGCACAGATAATTTCTTCAAATAGAATTGTATGTACAAAATTCATACATTGTTGTCCTTGTATGTTTATTTATAGCAATACCTAAGTAACTTTTTATAAAACGTAGGAATTGTGTTAACAATGATTTATAATTGGTGTCGGCAATTTATCATTAATTACTTTATATTTAAAGAAAAAACGTTTGTCATCAACTAGGTACTTACTGAATTAAATTATAAAATATCATGAGGTAATACTTAATTTTCATAATACTAGAAAAAGATGGATTATAAATTAATAGCTACAACCCGTGACTTTGGTCACGTGAATAACGTGTAACAGAATAGGTACTTATAAATTAATTTATAAATTCTTTCTTTATTTCATTCCTATCTATAAAGATAGGAATGAAATAAAGAAAGAGAATGTCATGTCTTCTATGATATTACTGAAAAATTTATAATAAAACCGAAGAAATAGTAATTTATAGTCTCTTCCACATTTAGTAGACTAAAAGATAATAATAAAGATAAGAATAATGTGATTTCGTGTAATGTGAAATATAAAAGCCGAGCTGAACAATTAGAAAACCCCCAGTGCCAGCCCCTTAATGGGAGGAGGGAGAATCGAACAGCGTCTGAGGGCGCAAAGAACCACACATCAATGGCTCGCATCTAATTCGACGTTGGTTCTTTTGCTAATAAAAACTGTCCAATCGAAAAATTATCACTATAGTAATGTCTGCTCATTCGACACCGCTGATGGCTTTTTTTTTCGCCATCAAGGCAATATAAAAGAAGCGTTTTAAAAATTTCCCTATGACGTCAGGTAGGTTAAGATAGGCCCCGAAAAATCTCTTTATAAAAGACCGCAGTATTAGACTTACCAGTACCTTAAGAATGTAACTATACTTCATACCATTAGGTACTTGTCATGTAAGGTTTCAAATTCACTACATGCATTTGAGATTTTAGGAAGTTATAATAGTCTACAAGTTGTAACGACCAATATATTGAGAGTATAACCCCACATGTCCATTAAATGTACACTGTTTATCATACATAGGTAATATATGTGAAGTGTTTATATTAAATTTACTAAGTTTGTTACAATTATAAATAACTAGCGATCCGCCCAAGCTTTGCAAGGCTTTTTGATAATAAAATATAACCTATATTACTTGCTAATAATGTAACTTTCTATAGGTGAAAGATTTGTAAAATCGATTAAGCAATTTTTCAGATTATGTGTTAAAAACGAACATATAGAAATCTCTTTTTTCTCATGTAAATTCAAAGTAGTGTAGCTCATGTTGATCACAACAACATATCAATGTACTTTAGAGAAATAGAGGGATAAAATATTTTATACCCCCCATAGCGTCGTCATGTGTTACCACTCTTGAGATTTTGTATTTTATGTCATTGCATTGTGCTGGCAATTATCATTGTTCTTCAGACTCAAGGACAACAATGTATTCTTTGATATCAATAAATCGAATACAGTATTCCCCAAAATATAATAGATAGTGACAAAATTAATATAAGACCAACGCATCCCATCCCATCTAATCGATTCCTATCCCATCGATTGCAAAAATAACTATCAAAATAGTTTCACAAACAACAAAAATATACAGATGAAATTTGAACTCCTTTATAAAATTGGGAACTCTATCTCACCAGTCTTTTTTCAAAATAACTTATATAATCCTTTTGGATACTATGCTGAAGGCATTACACTAGTTGTTCTTTACACTAATATCTAATATAATAACTAACATCTGCAGAACACTAACTAGGTATATATAATTTAAAGTAAGTAAGAATTCATTGCTTATCATTAATAACGAAGGAATCCTAAATAAACGTGAGTTTAATCGATTGATCGCCATGGTAATAACTTCCAGAGCAACAACCGAAGCCTCAAGAGGGTGATTGGTCGTGACCTCAGAACTTTGGCGATCACTCTAGATATTTGTCATTTTAAAACTGATAACTTTATTGTAAAAAGGAATTGAACACACAAGAGTCAACATACACTCCTCGCAAAAATTAAGGGAACATAAAAATTTTTGAAATTTTTGGGTGATTTTCAACAGGCTGTATTTTAGTGAAAAATAATCGTACAGGAAATTTAAAAAAAGTGTTTTGAAGCTTGAAAACTCTAGTTTTCAGATTTTTTAGTGAAAAAATTTTTTGAGCTCCGGTTTCCATGCAATTCTTAAACAAAGCTGAAAATATTTTTTTTCTAAATTTTCTAGGTTTCGTTTTTCACTCTATGGGCATGGAAAAAAATTTTTGAGCTACTCCATTGTATAGGTCTCTTAGCGTGTTTATTCAGCTTCAAAAATCGCTTTGGATGGCTCAATTACGACCATTTGTCTCCGAGATATCGAACTTTGAATGCAAAAGCATCCTTTTCCATTCAACTGCTAATATCTCTGGAACTACTGGTCACACAGCAAGCAGGCGCCGAGTTTCTTTATCTGCATAAAATTTCCAATTAAGCACAGTCAAGAGTTAGTGAAGAAAAAATTTTTTTCCACCTCTAACATTGAATTGAAAAAAGTGGAAAAAAGTGACTTTTTCTCCTTTTTTGGTTACTTGGCTGTATCTTCGCTAATATGGGCGGGAAAGCTAAGGTTTGAGGAAAATTTTACAGTCTATTGTTCCTTAAAGAACCCCCTAAATCCCTGGAGCGATCGGTTCAACGGTTTTTCCCGGACCAATTGATTGAAATTTTGGAAAAAATAGGGGAACAAGGTTTTTGTCCCTTAAACTCACCCTAATCCATTCAAAAATCAATAATTTCATTTGTTTTTCACATTTTACTCAATTTTTTGTTTTTTAAAAATTCATTATCAAAAAAAAAATCGAAAAAAATCAAGAAAATTTTATGCAGATAAAGAAACTCGGCGCCCGCTTGCTGTGCGACCAGTAGTTCCAGAGATATTAGCAGTTGAATGGAAAAGGATGCTTTTGTATTCAAAGTTCGATATCTCGGAGACAAATGGTCGTAATTGAGCCATCCAAAGCGATTTTTGAAGCTGAATAAACACGCTAAGAGACCTATACAATGGAGTAGCTCGAAAAAATTTTTCCATGCCCATAGAGTGAAAAACGAAACCTAGAAAATTTAGAAAAAAAATATTTTCAGCTTTGTTTAAGAATTGCATGGAAACCGGAGCTCAAAAAATTTTTTCACCAAAAAATCTGAAAACTAGAGTTTTCAAGCTTCAAAACCCTTTTTTTAAATTTCCTGTACGATTATTTTTCACTGAAATACAGCCTGTTGAAAATCACCCAAAAATTTCAAAAATTTTTATGTTCCCTTAATTTTTGCGAGGAGTGTATTTGGTATAAAAATAGTGATCGATGCAAATACAAAATAGTCTTCTTTCCTTTTTCTCCTCTACCCAAAGGTTGTTAGGAAGAAATTAATTTAGCGATAAGGTCACCTTTTATACTTTATAAGTATAATATGTGTGGTTTTGTATTTTTTTTTCCTACTGGTGCAATAAAGACTATACAAACATAAAAGACATATCAAATATATGACAGGTTTTTTGAATATTTTTATGTAATTCAGATTGTATGCGTAAAGAATGTCATAAACATAAATAAAATAAACTAAAATCAAAGGACTTCGATGTAAGGAAAAAACCATGAAGAAACATAAACTCAAGTTTTCATTATGAATGAAAGAAGTGTAGAAATTTCGATTATTTGAAATTTATGAAGCTAATCCAATCAAAATTAAGATGCAATTGTAATGCGTTGAGTTAATATATGATCAAATCTGTGTACCGAATTTCATTCAATTTTGTTGATCCGCTAAATCATGATTGAGTTACAAACATTTTCACAAGCTTTTATATATATCTAGAATATACACAATAATATCCGGGGAAATAACTTACTCACGTAAAAACATAAACATTGTTATATCGATGTAAATATATGTAAGAAATGAACGTAGAACAGTATATAGTATATAATAGTAGGTAATACGAGTATGTTCATTTTATACTCGTTTGACCTTATTACTTACATTCCAAGGTTTACTAATAAATTTGATTAAAAATATAATGGTGACATAGGATTCTGAAATATATTAAATTATAGAAGATAGAGAAGCCCATCTAATATAGTTTTCCGTCGGATGTTTAAATATTAACGTAGAGATAGAAAAACGTCAATAACGCAGTTATTGTTCATAGTGTATATAAAAAAATATATAGGAAAAAAAAGGGTGCGTTTGTTATTAAAGTCTATTTAGAGTTTCGGTCATAAATATTAAAAAAAAGTTGTAACAAGTATTCTAAACTAAAGGCATTATTTACGATACTACTAAGCTTTTATGATATAATTTTTTAGGTTTCTTTGTATATTAAAATATATAAGTTTTACTCGTATGATATTCTAATGAATACTATAAAAATTATCGAAAGCAAAATTATC